GTTGAACCCAGGGCCTCATGCATGCCAGGCAGGTGCTCTGCCCTGGAGCTACATCCTCGACCCCATTTTAATAATTTAGAAAATGTTTGATTCAGTGAGGTCCTGTTCTTTTCGAGGTGCAGCCTTCAGGGCACCCCTGCATAGCTCTAGCAGTTTTCCACCTCTGCGGAGTGCTTTTTTTTCACAGAGCCCTCTGAGGGCTGGGGTGGGTCTTGTGTATTTTCTCTTTGCTTCCAGGTGACCGTGCAGCCCAACTGCGGGCCCTGATAGGAGCCCAGCCTCACAGGATCCCTGTTATCTTTGTCCTGTGCTGTCCGCAGAGTGTGGCTCCCCCTGCTGGAAAGTGTGTGTTTTATTTTTGGTACTGAGTATTGAGCCTGGGGTCTTCGCACAAAGTTGCGACATTACTGGCGTTGGGCTGGAACTTGTGATCCTCCTGTCTCAGTTTCACAGTGTTCTGGGATTGCAGGCATGTGCCACCATGCCCCGTGACAGGGTTTGTTTTTATTTTATTTTGTTTATTGAGACAGGTCTTGCTGTGTAGTCCAGGCTGATCTTGAACTCACTGTATAACCCAGGCTGACCGAGAATTCTTGATGATCCTCCTGCCTCAGCCTTCCAAGTGCTGGGATTACAAGTGTGTGCCACCATGCCTGGGTCAGTGTTTTTAGGCAGTATGTGGGGTCCAGGGGAATTAATATCTGCTTTGTAGCCTGCTGGACTTTTTTGTGGTACTAGGGATGAAAGCCAGGGACTTCACACTGTGCTATAGCCCCAGTTTTTATTTTATTTATTTATTTATTTGGTACCGGGAATCAAACTTAGGACCTTGTGCTTGCCAGGCAGACGCTTATGCCACTGAGCTATATCCCCGGCCCTATTTTTTATATTTTTTTATGTTTTTGGTTTGTTGTTTTCAGACAGGCTCCTCCTGCTTTGTAGTTCAAGCTGGCCTTGAGCTCATGGTGCTTCTCCTGCCTCAGCCTCCTAAGTGCTTGAATTACCAGCAGGCATCACCACGCCCAGCTGAATCTGTTTATTTATTTATTTTTTGTCTCTTTTTTTTGAGACAGGGTCTCTCTCTGCAGTTCAAGTGGGCCTTGAGCTCACTTTGTAGCCCAGGCTGGTCTCAAACTCGCAACGATCCTCCTGCCTCAGCCTTCTGAGTGCTGGGATTACAGGGGTGTACCAGCACACCCAGCTTGAATCTGTGTATTTTAAGGTTAGGTTGCTCGCTTTTGCTGCTTTGAATAGGTTAATTTCTGGATTTATAGTGTCTTTAAGGGATTTGGGGTGAGTTGAGCCTGAAAGTAAAAAGCAGGGCTGGGGAGGACAGGTGTAGAGGACAGGTGTGGGGTGAGAACCTCGGGTGATTTTGTGTCCTGAAGTTGCAGTCTTCTTAACAATACTGTTTGAAAATTACCATTTTCCTTGTCTCCTTCATACCTGTCTTTATTCCTTTTCTTGCATCCCTCCCCTCAATTTGACCCCTAATGTCTTTTTTTTTTCCTTTTTTTTTTTGAGGCAGTTCAGGCTGGCCTAGGACTCACTATGGAGCCCAGGCTGGCGTTGAACTCGCAGTGATCCTCCTGCCTCAGCCTCCCAAGTGTGTGTAGAGTGTGGGGGATAGAGGTCTGCGCCACCTCTTTGCTCCTGGCTTGCGTTGTTTCTGTGTATCTTGGTGCTGTCAAATCGTTTCGTCTGCAGGCCGATGGGGAGGAGGATGAGAGGCTGCGGGAAGCTCTTTCGAGTGTCCAGGACACTGGCTCGCCCTGGCCCCTCCTTGAGGCTTCGGGAGTTTGAGATTCCCGTGTCTCCCTGGGGTGCTGTGCGTTCTGTGCCCGCTCCTTCTGCCTCCGAGGTCCTGTGGCCACTGCCTGTCGCCCTCCGGAGCCCCGACGGTGGCCCAGGTGGCCAAGCTCACGGTGGTCCATGCCAGGCCCTCTCTGGACTCTGCCTTCACATCCAGACCCCAGAGTCGCCATGTTCCCTGCCCAGCCAGCGCAGGCCCACACCGCCCTCCAGTCCTCCCTCAGCCCGGCCCTGCTGGCCTCTGGATGTTCCGAGAAGTTGTGGGTTTCTGTCCGGCCTGCTGTTGGTGGCCTGGGGCTCACCCCAGTGGGGACCCCAGTTCTTGGTGGCTCGTGGCCTGGCGCACGCTGCCTGCCTCGGGGTGCAGAGCACACAGTGGCATTTTGTTTTTGTGCAGTGCTGGGGAATCCGCAGGCCAGGAGCCCAGGACCTTTGTGCTGAGCCGTAGTGTTCCCCGCCCTCCTTTTTTTGGTATTGGGAGTCGAACTCAGCACCTTGTGCTTGCCAGGCAGTCACTTGTGCTGCTGAGCTGTAACCCCAGCTGCTCCTCCCTTTTTTGAGGCAAGATCTCTCTACTGAGGCAGGAGGATCGCTGTGAGTTCAAGGGCAGTCTGGGCTACATGTCATAAAACCAAAGGAGAAAAAATAAAAACATCTCTTCAAATGTCGCAGGCCGGTTTCCAAATTGCAGTCCTCCTGCCTCAGCCTCCCGGAGCACTGGATGCCAGGCGTGTGTCACATCTGTCAGCCCTTTCTCCAGAAGTTGTGCTCTGGCCCCGCCTGACTCTTGCCCTGGGCTCCCTACTTGGCAGCTTCTGCTGGCTTTCGGATCTCAGCATCTGCATCCAGCCGGCAGCCCCGTCCCTCCAGCTCCTGGAACACAACGCTGTTGGCATTTGGTGGCGATCTCTCTGTTTGTCCCGCTCCCCGCAGGGAAGTGCTGGGGAGTGTTGCGCGTTTTGTTTTCTGCTGTGTGCCCCGTGCCCGCAGAACACTGCGCTGATGGTGCTCCCTCTGCTTGTTTTCCTTTCTTTAATTTTTTGAGACAGGGTTTTGCTATGTCGTCCAGGCAGGCTTTAAACACTTGTAGCCCAGCCTGGCCTGAAACTCAGCGATCCACCCGCCTCAGCCTCCTGAGTATCTAGAATTGGAGGAGTCCTCCCCTAAACTCCACGAGCCGTGGTTCTAGGGCTGCCAGCATATCCAGAAAGGGCAGTCTGTCCTGTAAAATAGTTTCACCTCAAGTCTTGGGGCAAGCTCATATTGGCCTGTTGGGGTCACACGGCCACCCAGAGCCAAGCACTGGTGCGCGTGGGAGATGCAGTGCTCTGAGTGGCTGCTTGTGGTCAGCGGGCCTAGCATCTAGAAAGGCGGCTGCTGCCAGCGTGGGGCGCGGTGTCCAGGAGCCGCTGGTGAAGTGTCTGGGGTACAGCCCGGTGACATGGGTTTCCATCTCCCTCCCAGAAGAGTTGCCAGACCACCAGCATCGCCACAGCTGAGGCGGGCACCCAGGCCCGGAAGTGCACGGACGCTCAGGTGCAGACCGAGGCCCCGGTGCCGCCCGCGCCCCCTGCGCCCCGGCCCGACGCACCCGGGCTGCTCGCCTTCCTGCGCCGTGTGGAGCCCGCGGTCACTCGCGAGCTGAGCCGGAACTGGCAGAGCCACGCGTTCGATGGCTTCGAGGTGACCTGGACCGAGCCACAGCAGACGGTAGGGCTGGGACGGCCCGTGACGCCTCCCCTCCTACCCGTAGTAGCGCCTGCCCGGGTAGCATTCACTGAGCTTTTACTTCTGCCAGGTGCTGGACTAAGTCATTTCTCTTTGGCAGTGCTGGAGTTGAACCCAAGGCCGTGGCCAATGAAAGACATCTCCAGTCCTTTTTATTTTTTCAGCCCTTTTTATTTTGAGTCGGCCTTGCTAAGTCACTAAGTTGCCCAGGTTGGTCTTGAACTTGTGATCCTCCTGCCTCAGTCTTGCAGAATGGGGGAGCACAGGCGTGTGCCCTCAACACCTGGCCTGATCTAAGCTTTGTATGCATAAATCCTTGAGCGCCCTCTACTGTTCCTGGGGTTGGTCCTGTCAGTCTCCCAGAGGTGCGGTTGGGGAAATGGACCCCTGAGCAGAATCCTCTTGTCCAGGGTGAAACCACAGTGGCAGGTAGGTCAGGCCGGCAGCCAGCTGCTGGGGTGTCGGGGTGCTTTCTCTGTGGTTCCTTCACCCTTGGGATAGTGGGGGGGGGCAGCCCTACGCTCTCCATTGAGGGCTGAGCCTGAGTGACTTGTTCCAGGTCACATAGGTGACACTAAAAGTAGCCCAGCTGCACAGGAGGCTGAGGCAGGAGGATCACACGTTCTGTCAGCAAATAGAAAAGGGCTGGGGATGTGGCTCACAGGGAAGCATGAGGCCCTGGGTTCCATCTTCAGTAGTTAGGGGAAAGAAAAAAAGGAACAGCTTTGCCGCTGTCTGGTCTGGGGTCCTTCGATTTGTTCAGGCCACAGCTGCTGCCACTGCCAGCTTGGTGTGCGGAGACCCTGTGCATGCGCCCCTCGGCCTGGTCTGCAGCTGGTGCCGGCCTTGGCTGTCCGGCCCTGCAGTCTGCCTTCTGGAGGCGACATCTGTAGGGCTATGGTTTCCTCAGGGCCGGCCGCTGTGCTTGGCCAGTGGGAGGGCTTTCCCTGTCCAGGCCTGAGTATGGCTTTATCTTCTGGCCGCAAGGCCACCGGGTGGGTGGCTTGGGGCTCAGGGTGGGGACGCCTGTCTCTGCAGGTGACCTGTCTGCACACACTGGGTTACCCGCCGGCCCAGGAGCAGGGTCTGCACGTGACCAGCGTGTCCTGGAATGCCACCGGCTCCGTGCTGGCCTGTGCCTATGGCCGGTGAGTGATGGGGGGCAGTGGGGGCCCCAAGACTCATCCGGGCCGTCTCCCTAGGGTTGGTGCCCAAGCCTGCCATTTTGGGCATCTTGCTTTAGGCTGCCTGGGCGTGGCTGAGTGCGGCTTGGTGGGAGCAGCAGGGGAGGGCTGGGGACCGCGCCTTGGTGCCCACCTGGCAGCCTAGCCTTCCCCGGCCCGCTGCGCGGAGCCGCCCTTGGCACCCGGGTCCTTTCCTAGCGTGTCCTGCCCCGGCTGGGCGTGGGCTGCACCCCTGGGGTAGCAGAGCGCGAGCGCACAGGTGATCTGGCCGGGACAGCGGGGCAGAGGGTGACAGAGCCTGACGGCGGGGCCCGTCCCGTGCAGGCTGGACGATGGGGACTGGAGCACGCTCAGGTCCTACGTGTGCGCCTGGAACCTGGACAGGCGCGGCCTGCACCCGCGGCAGCCGTGGGCGGTGGTGGAGGTGCCCAGCGCCACCATGTGCCTGGCCTTCCACCCCACACAGCCCTCGCAGATCGCAGGTGAGCGCCCGGGGTGCCTGTGCTGAGCTGTGGGCCCGCTGGCAGGGGCGCGGTCTGGAGCCCATGGAAAACCTGGGCGCTGCACTTGCGGGGTGGGGCCTGCAAGAAGGGCGTCCGCGGAGCAGCAGGAGGGGCTGGGGGCGGGGCCTCGCGAACGAGGACCCAAGGGGACCCTAACGGGGCCTGCTGCAGCGAGGGGCCCTTGAGCCTGCTCCGTGGGAGGCGTGCGGGCTCACGCCCGGGCCGCGGTCCCGCAGGAGGGCTGTACAGCGGCGAGGTGCTGCTGTGGGACCTGGGCCGGCCCGAGGACCCGCTGCTGTGGCGCACAGGCCTGACGGAAGACAGCCACGCGGACCCCGTGTGCCAGGTCGGGCCGCAGGGCCGGTGGGCAGGTGTCGCCCTGCCCCTCGGAGGGATGGCACCCCAGCCGAGGGAGGCGATCGGGGGCTGGCCCTGGGGCACGAGTCCCGTCTGTCCCCGGCCTTCCTGTGGCTGGGTGCGGGGCTGGGTGCGGGGCTGGGCGGGCCCGCGGCCCCTCGGGGTCTCCTGGAAAGGGCGGGCGGGCAGCCCGCCGCTCCTGCACTCCCCTCCCTGTGGCGGCAGGTGGCGTGGCTGCCTGAGGCGGGGCGCGGCCCCTGCTCCCGGCTGCTCAGCGCGGCCCCCGACGGCAAGGTGCTGCTGTGGCAGGGCGGCGGCGCGGGCGGCCTGCAGCTCCGCGAGGGCTTCGCCCTGGTCCTGCAGCAGCTGCCTCGGAGCGCCCGGCTGAAGAAGGTACGCGGGGCGCAGGCGGGGGGACGGGCCCGCAGGGCTCGCGTGACCCTGCTGCCCTCCACAGCCTCCCCGGGGCGAGACCGAGGTGGGCGCCACGGCGGTGGCCTTGTCCAGCTTCGACCCCAGCCTCTTCATCCTGGGCACGGAGGGCGGCTTCCCGCTCAAGTGCTCCCTGGCGGCGGAAGAGGCGGCCCTGGCGCGGATGCCCAGCTCCGTGCCCCTTCGGGCCCCGGTGCGCTTCGCCTTCTCCCCGCACGGCGGCCCCGTCTACTCCGTGAGCTGCTCCCCGTTCCACAGGTGCGGCTGCGGCCCCGCCCCGCCGAGCCCGAGCCCTGCGCCGGCGGCGTCCGTCCGCACGGCCCGCCTACCGCTCAGGCGCCGCCCTGCCTGCCCTAGGAACCTCTTCCTGAGTGCAGGGACCGACGGCCACGTCCACCTGTACTCCATGCTGCAGGCGCAGCCCCTGGCCTCGCTGCGCCTGTCCCCCCAGTACCTGTTCGCGGTGCGCTGGTCCCCCGTGCGCCCCCTGGTCTTCGCGGCTGCCTCCGGGGAAGGTAGGGGCCGGCCACCGGCCGGGGTGCCTCCCTCGAGAGACCTAGGCAGAGGGCTGCGGGGCGGGGCGGGGCTTGAGCCTTGGATTTCTACCCCCCACAGGTGACGTCCAGCTCTTTGACCTCCAGAGAAGCTCCCAGAAGCCCGCGGTGTCCGTTGAGCAGACCCAGGACGGAAGCCCCGTCTACTGTCTCGAGTTTAACAGCCAGCAGCCCCAGCTCCTGGCTGCCGGCGACGCCCAGGGCGCGGTCAAGGTGTGGCGGCTGAGCTCGGCGTTCACGGAACAAGGGCCCCGGGAGACCGAGGACCTGGACCTGCTGGCAGCCGAGGTGGCCACCTGAGCCTGGGAAGCCCAGGGAGGCGCCCCTCCCCTGTGGTTCAGGCGGGAGCTGAATGAAGGGGTGAAGCCTTTGGGGGAGAGCGAGTCCTTTATTTGATGTTTTTCGCACGAAAACGGAATATTTGGGGCGGGGGAGGAACAGGAAGGGCGAGCCAGCCGCTCCGGAGTTTCTACGGCGGAATGAGGGCAGCTGGCTCCCGACAGGGGCTGGGTCCCCACGGCAAGCGGCGGCTGTGACTGCATCGGAAGCGGTTCGCTGAAGCACCGTTTCTACTACGTCTCACCCAAGCGAAGCGGGCTCACGGGTACAGAGTGACACTGGCTGAGGAGGGGGCATGCAGGGCGGCGGGCGGGGGTCAGTTCACGAAGAGCGAGCGCGTGAACTCCACGTAGTCGAAGGCCGTGGGCAGCTCGCGGCCCTTGCCGTCCACGTAGGGCTTCATGTGGGAGACGCAGTAGTCGGCCTGTTCCCGGGTCAGGTTCTGGGGGCGAGCGTGCGAGTGCTGGTCAGTGAGGCCCGCGGCGGCGCTCTGGGCGGCTTTACAAGGTGGCCCGCCCCGCCCCCACCCGCAGCTGTCCATGGGACAGACCTGCGAGCCAGCCCCGCCGCCCGGGCGCACCTGGTAGAGCTCCTCCTTGGTCACGTAGGGCTTCCCCTCGGAGCTGAGCGCCCGGAAGGCGCTCTCGATCTCCTCGCTGGACTTGACGTTCTCCGTCTCGCGGCTGATCATGAACGCCATGTATTCTTGCAGGGAGACGTGGCCATCCCTAGGGTGGGGTGGGGCGTGGCAGTGAGTGGAGGGCAGGCCGGGCTGGCTGTGGCCACCACCGTCCCCGATGCTTACCGGTTGGGATCCACCGTGTCCAGGATCGCCTCGAACTCAGGGTCGGGCTCCCCTTCCTCCACCATGGGGAGGTCGTAGCCCAGCGAGCGCAGGCAGGACTTGAACTCCTGGTGGTTGAGCCTGCCAGACTTGTCCTTGTCGAAGTGTCTGCAGACAGGGCAGGGCTGCTCAGTATGTGACCTGGCTGCACCGCCCCCGCAGCCCGGAGCCAGGAGGGACCCCACTCACTTAAACATCATGCTGAACTCCTTGAGGGCCTCCTCGGTCACTCCCGTTGTGTTCCTGGAAGGAGAGCAGGATTGGAGGCCAGGCCCTCCATGGCAGGGGACACCTTCTTGCTGGCCTCGGGCCCACGGCTCTGCCCGCCTGCGCCCGGTACCTGGCCTGGATCTGCTGCTCCAGGTTGTGCTGCATGCGCATGCCCAGCTGGTCCAGCTGGTCCCACTGCTGGGCCAGGCCCACGGTGCTGTGCTCCGTGTACTTGTTGTCCAGGATGAGGGCCTCCTCCATGGCGGCCCCCAGGTCCTCGATCTTCTTCAGCTGGCTCCGCATGGCTCGGATCTCCTGGTGCTTGCGCTGCGGGGCAGGGTGGAAGCGTGTGAGACGGGCCCTACTGGGCCCTGCCCGAGACCCGCAGACAGGGAAGAGCAGACGGGGACAGCAGGCTGCCCTGTTGGGGAGCAGCTGCCGAGGACCGTGAGTCACAGATCCGGGGTTGCTTTAGCCCAAGGGTAAAGGGGCACAGCCGGCATGGGCCCCGACTGAAGCCAGTACACAAGAGCAGGCCGCGGCGGTGGGCGGGGCTGAGCTGGGCCTGGAGTGCGGGGCACTCACTTTGGTGGCTTCGAGCTGGGACTCGAGGGTTCCGGATTCTTCCACCATGCAGGACCTAAACACAGAAGCAACAGTGAGGTGGGGCCGAGCTCAGGCAGCAGAGCTCCTGATTAACTGCTCCCTCGGTGAACAATGCCTGGCAGCCTGTGCATCCTCTCTCAGGAAACAAAACCTATCTGCTTCCCGACAGGCCTTGGGGGCCAGGAGGGCAGGAACCCTGTCACCACACCGCAGGCCCGACAGCCCTTCCCTTTAGCAGGTGCCTCCACAGGGAGCCATGTTCCAAGAGGGACAGCATGGCCCCTCCGATAAGCAGGAAGTGGGGTCAGGGGCGGTTTTGGAAAGTGGCCCTCATCCTGCCCAAGGAAAGACATGGAAGCCTGGGCTCAGGATCTGTCACCGGCAGCCAGGGTAGGTTCAGAGAAGCAAGTGGGCTTGGGGGAGCCCGCTTCTCCCCAGGGTCGCACACACACAGCGAGGTCACGGAAGGCTGCCAGTGACCAGAGACGGCACACGAGTTGGGGTCACATGCAGGGATGAGTTCACACGACGTGCAGCACGGGCTCCTCCGTCCCCATGTGCCCAAAGCCCAGCGAGCCAGGGTGAGCCCCAAGTCTCCCCAGGTCCAGAGAGCTCTAGCAGGGAAGGCCCTGGGTCTTGCCAGGGAAGAGGGTGGAGGGGCCGGTGCAGCAGGACAGCCCCTCCATCCAAGCGGCCCGGGTGAGAGTTAGTCAGAAAGCAGAGCCGCTGGGAGGCCACAGTGCATTGGAAAACCACGGTGAGGGAAGAAGAGAATAAGAGGAGAAAAACCTTCCGGACAGGTCATCCCCAACTTCATACTGACAGACACGAATGACCCGACGGTACGCTATGCTAGTCAGAGAGAAGAAACCGATGAGTACAGAGGAGGGCGGCAGCGGGCGCACCCGAGACAGACATGCGCACCAGGCCCCGGCTGGCAGCGTGCAGGCCAGGGCCGTTAGGCGCCGGGAATGGACGCCCCGGGGCAGCTCAGTGGCACTGGCGGGGCCAGCCAGGGCTTGGGAGGAGCCACAGTCCAGAGGGCATGGCAGGCGAAGCGGGGAGACAGGGCAGCAGGCAGCGTGAGGGGCAGGGGGGCTTCGCTGGGCCCGGGCCAGGTGCCCTGTCCCTTGCTCTGTGGGCACTCACGTGGCCTCCGTGGCTTGGGCAGCTTGCCTGCCTCATTCCCACCAAAGGCCGTTTCCTGTCCCAGAACCTCAGGGCACCAGTGACCCTGCCACAGTTTCAGTGGGGCTGGCCTGGCCTGCCCCCATGTCCTACCACCACCAGGCGTTTCCGCCTTCTGCTGACCTCCCCCAGGGGGAGCTGGGGCCATGCCCAGCCTGTGCCCCAACACTGCCATCCAGCATCATGCCTGCTGACACCTGGGAGCTGAGCAGTGTCCCTGGACACACAGGGGATGGAGGCAAAGAGAAGCCCACCATGTCCCCAGGGGCTGCGGCTCTGGGCACCCGGCCTGGCCAGGGTCCTGCCGGGGAGCAGCCCTGGTATGGGGCGGGGACACCATCAGGGCGCCAGTGTGGCTGGGAGCTCTGGGGCAAGGCGGGGCCCTGCCTGGTGCTCAGGCAGGATGGGTATCAGGCCCATCCTGGGGACACCCCCCCCCGCCCCCGCAAGCCAGGCCACAGAGGGACCAGGGACACAGGAACAAGCACACGAGACACCACCACACCACGAGCCCAGACCAAGAGCACGATATTAACCCGTCGAGGAGGTAGGTTCTGTGCAGATCCAAGCAGCCATGGGACAAGGTGGTATCCGGGCGTGGAGGCAATCGGGGACACGGACAGGGACAGAGAGAGAAGACGAGAGAAACAAAACCAAGAACGTGAGCGCTTGTTGCCTTTAACCAGTGCTGGCTACTGCTGCTGGAGGCCGACTGTGGGCTGTGACGGTGCCATCAGCCTGGCCTCTGTCTCCAGGGATGTTCCCCTGGAGTCCTGCTCCCACTGCCCACGCTTGCGGCCCCAGGGCCCACGCAGGCAGAGCCAACCCCCTCTCCGCAGCGAGTGGCCTAGCCCCCAGACGCAGCTCCCGCTCCCGCCCCGGGCTGGGGTGCAGGGCCACCCGGGCGGCCGCACCTGGTCTCCTGGATCCACTGGTGGAAAGCGTTTGCATGCTGCGCGAACTCCTGGCGCAGCTTGTCGTTCTCCTCCTGCCGACGCTGCTCCTTCTGCAGCTCCAGCTCACGCTCCTGTCAGAGGGAGGCCAAGGTCACCTGCTTCCGCCCGGCCCGGCCCGAGGACCGCTTCTACCCCAGCCGAACCCCGAGGAGCAGATCACCTTGATGATCTTCTGCAGGTTCCTCCATGTCTCCTCCAGGGCCTCCATGGTGAACCAGGTGTAGGGGTTGGAGGCCACGCGGAAGCTCTTGATCTGGCGGTCCAGCTCGGCCAGCTGGTTGAAGTCGGCCTGCGCGGAGCTGAGGGAGGAGCGGAAGGCGTCGTGGGCCTCGCGCAAGGCCTTGATCTCTTCCAGGGAGTTGCAGCGCACCGGGTCTGTCAGGTCCTCCTCTGCGTTCTCAAACCAGCTGTTGAAGGCTGACGCCTTTTTGGCGAAGGTCAGGAAGAGGTCCTCCACCTGGAAGCAGAGGGGACCGAGCGAGGCATATCACGAAGAGTGGGGCCAGGGCAGCCCATGTCCTCCCAGCCCTCCTGCCCTTCGGCACGGCTGCAGCTCTGAGGGTAGCGGGGCGGAGGCCCCCAGCTCAAGCTCAGCTCCTCTGGCTGAGGCCACCACACATAGGAAGTCAGGTCTGCCACCCGCCACGGGCCAGCTGAGCCTGCCTGCTGGCCCTCACCTTGCGGAAATGGCTCTGGGCCTCCAGCAGCTTCTTTTTCCGGGTGGCCGAGTTGGCCAGAAGCTGGCTCCACCTCTTCATGAGTGAGGCGTGCCGGGCCTCGATGGCCTTTGACTGGATGTGCTTGGCGGCCAGCAGCTGGTCTTTGAGGGCGGTGATGTTGGCGATGCCCTCCTGCTGGAAGGCCTGCAGGCCAGCGTCGAAGGTCTCCTGCAGTGAGGACGACAAGCCAGCTGGGAGGGACCCCGGCCAGACCTGGGCTTCCTCTCCCGGTGCCTCAGCGCAGAGGGCAGCGGCAGGTTTCTCTAGGTTCCCCCGCCTCCTGCTGGCCCTCAGTCACACCTCCCGCTCGCCTGGAGGCTCCTCAGACATGACCGCTCTCCCCCCACCACTCAGGTTACCCGCGAGGACCGCCCTGCAAGACCGTCTATGCTGGTGACCAACCAGCACCCCACACCTACTGTGTTCCCCTGCAAATAAGAGCTGCCAGGGAAAGAGCCAGTGTCAGCACAGATTAGACCTCAGCGCGCTCTTGCTCAGTGCCCCTCTG